CTGTCTGTGTACAGTTTGTACATTCTCACTGTGTCTGTGTGGGTTTCCTCCCACAGTCCAAAGATGTGCCTAGCCTGATACTGTTAACCAGAGACTTGCTTTAATAAAGGTGTCAGTCCTTTTTAAATGGCACTAGTGATTGCTGCTTCCATCATGAATTAGTAAACTGACTGTACAAGTGAGCTTGCAGGTCCTGCCATTATGAGCGTCCTGATGTAGATACAGCACTCTGATTAACATATTTTAATGATGCTGTACAAAAACAAAGTTGCTGGAGAAACTCAGCAGGTCTGGCAGCATCTGTGAAGGAAAAAACAGAGTTAACGTTTTGGGTCCGGTGAGCCTTCCTCAGAACTGGCAGTTTTTTTCTTCACAGATGCTGCCAGACCTGCTGAGCTTTTCCAGCAACTTTGGTTTTGTTCCTGATTTACAGCATCCGCAGTTCTTTCAGTTTTTAATTAATGATGCTGTGTTTGTTTCAGGTGACCATTGGGGATGGTTAATGGGCTCTCAAACCAATCTGGTGGGCTCCTGCTCATTGGGACATGGTATTGCAAATCTGGGCTTTATGGAACCTATTTCAAACCCGAGAAAAGGCTCCACACCTCCATCCCCCTCTGTCTGTGCAACAACTGGCTTTTGATGGGTTAAGCTGTCTCCAAATGGAAATACAAATTACATTTAAAAAGGTGGATAGATAGCAGTGCCCAGGAAAAGAACATTACACACCATCTGACCAGTTCCATACTGAGCAACATGTTGGCTTATCTCCCCTACAGAGTAAGATTGTGAGAAATTTGTGAGATCTAGGAGCTGGAAGCTGAGCGGATGCTGAAGATTCTGTTCCAGATGGAGAAAATGGTCTACAGTCAGGACATCATTTACTCCAACAAGCTGAATCAAATCCAGACCGAATATGAGTTACCAGAGGCACAGAACCAGCAGATAATTTCTATCAGTACTGATATCACTGCAATGACCATTCATTTAGAAACCTATTACCTGGTGAGCTGTGCAATGCCATCTTTACTGATAAAGAACAAAGAAGAACCAAGAACAAAGAAAGTTACAGCACAGAAACAGGCCCTTCAGCCCTCCAAGCCTGTGCCGATCCAGATCCTCTATCTACACCTGTCGCCTATTTTCCAAGGATCTGTATCCCTCTGCTCCCTGCCCATTCATGTATCTGTCTAGATACATCTTAAATGATGCTATCGTGCCTGCCTGTACCATCTCTGCTGGCAACGCGTTCCAGGCACCCACCACCCTCTGCGTAAAGAACTTTCCACGCATATCTCCCTTAAACTTTTCCCCTCTCACCTTGAAATCGTGACCCCTAGTAATTGAATCCCCCACTCTGGGAAAAAGCTTCTTGCTATCCATCCTGTCTATACCTCTCATGATTTTGTAGACCTCAATCAGGACCCCCCTCAACCTCTGTCTTTCTAATGCAAATTATCCTAATCTACTCAACCTCTCTTCATAGCTAGCGCCCTCCATACCAGGCAACATCCTGGTGAACCTCCTCTGCACCCTCTCCAAAGCATCCACATCCTTTTGGTAATGTGGTGACCAGAACTGTACGCAGAATTCCAAATGTGGTCGAACCAAAGTCCTATACAACTGTAACATGACCTGCCATGACTCTTGTACTCAATACCCAGTCCGATGAGTGAAAGCATGCCGTATCAAGGACATTCCAGCAAGAGACTAAGGATTAACCTTTTGAATAATCCCATGAATGAAATAAAATGGATCATCTTCCACTGTCATCTGTGCATTTTGTTTTGTGTCATGTGCCCTTGCAAAAGGAGCTTCATATTATTTTCAGTTGTAAATGCAGAATTAACAAATGCTGTGAAAGTGGGTGGGGATGATGCATGTCAGTAGACAGTGAATTGCTTGCCTGTTTTACATCCAGGTCTAATGAGGTTCTCAATTGTCACTCTCACATTCAGGTAGAAATTTGATCAGAGAAGATTGTCAACTCCCCCTGTAACTTATAAACATCTCAGTTTCGATTCTCCTTGACGTTCTAATGTCCAGGGGATACCTATAGGTTGTTCTGAATTCTCCAAACATTACAAATTAATCTCTAGGTCACACAAGCAAGGAGAAAAAAGGCCAGAGGGTAAAACAATGGCAAATCAAACAAATAATTTCTTTGCTTATGAATAAATTGCGGGTTGGTGGGTTGTGGGAAGCCACATATTGTCCGATTAGCTTATGAATGCCCAGCTCACTTTCATTTTATGGACATATTAGGTGACACCTTGAGGAATATTTCCAACCAAAATAGCCAAACTAACGAATGGTAAGTTGCTTGTCTCTGGTGAGATGTGCATGTTTTATTCTAAATGTCAGAACAGGACATCAATCAGTTTTAAACCCAAGATAGATTAACTTTTTTGTTAAGATATTAAAGGATATCATACAAAGGCAGGTATATGGAGTTAGGCCACTGGTCAGCCATAATCTTATTGAATGGCAGAACAAGCTCAAGGGGCTGAATACCCTATTCTTCTTCTGATGTTCCTTTCCATATAACTACTTTCATACCAGAAACGATAAATTGTGTGGCTTGGTGCTAGAAATGGGGGTGGGGTTAAGGGAGGGCAATATGAAGAAGGTAAATGTACTAGGTCTTTTGTTTTCTTGAAAACACTGAGGCCTTTAAAATTATTGAAAGCTTTAATCAAATAAACATGAAGATATTTCTAGATAAGCAAAACTAACAGCCATCAATTTGAGGTGTCAACAAAAGGTTAAATGGGGAATTTGGAAGAAGTTCCTTTACTCGAGTGATTAAAGCATTTATATTGATGCATTTAGGGGAAACTAGATGAAACATACTAAGGAGATGGGAAAAGAGGATTACGCTGCCAAGAATTGAAGATGACAAACAGGAAGTGCCTTGAATAGCATGTGGATATTAACATGGCTGGTTGTGATGCTTCTGTTTCATCACTGAATATCCTATATAATCATATGTACTTTTCTGCAATTAAATTCTGCACTTCTTGCGACATACATATTAATTGCAACTACATCTTCAGCATTAAATGTTTTATGTACCCAGTTCCTTAAAAGTGTTTGCTCATTCATACCTTCTGGATAGTATTCTATTGACTACTTTCACATGCAAACTGCAAAGTTCATTGAAGGAACTTCAATTGTTGAAAGTGTAGTGTGTAAAGCTGTGCCCACATTTTGGAGTTGTGAAGCTGAAACCTCATCAAACTGCAGCTTCCATTGTTCTGCCATCTTTTTCTATCTCCATAATTTGTAATGTTCTCTGTTCTTTACAGCTCACACCTTCTAGGTTAGTATTATCTGCAAACTACAGTTGGCAACCTAGGGACAGGAGTAAGTCATTCAGCCCTCTTGAACCAGCTCCCTAGTTCAGTTCGGTCACAATTGATCTGCATCTTAGCCCCAACAACCAAACTTTAATTTAACTCTTAATACTCTTATAACAGAAGAGAGGGAAGCAAATACAAAACACTGGATAAACCCCGCAGGTCTATAGCATTTTTGTAGAAAACAAGTGAGTTGATGTCTCAGCCCTCAGATCTTCAATTTATTGTTTTGCCCATCTCTGAAAAGAATCTTTTTCATGTCCAGCACCTGCCAGGACTTATACAAAACAACATTTCTGAGCAGTAGACAGAATTTTATTAAACACAAACGCTGCAACAGAAGTTTCACTCCTAAACAAGGATTCAAATATTCCCATCATTCTTCTGTGTTGTGCATTTCCATTGGCTGCTAAAACTCTAAATGTATTTTTGAATGTCACCAAAATAAATGTGAGAGCCCAAGCCTTGTAGTCAGTCCTTCCATGCTTTCTGCTTTTTTGACTTGTGGGAAAGTGACAACCTTAGCCACAACACAAGTCTGAAGAACTTACTAAACCCAGTCAATGGGTAGCCAACTCATCAGGTCCCAATGTTCGCTCTTATTCCTTACAATAACTGTGAATACAGTGGCTTGAAATGATTCAAAAATAATACAACATTTAAGTAGAAACTAGTTGCATCATTGTCCTTTACTCCATTGCAATTATAAGCTGATACATCATTGATCCTGAATTTTACATTGACATATTGCTTACATTAAGGCAAACTTATCCAGCTTTATTAAATCAAACTATTGATCATTTAACTTATATTTAGTGCAAGTTCATCCTTTGCACAAATTGCCAATCAATTCTAAGCAAATTCGGTAAAGTCTAAACTCGAAACATAAAGAAAATCAGAAAAGAGAGTTGCATTTATGCAGCACCTTCTCGATCTCAAATGTCCCAAAGTGTTTTACAAACAATTTTTGAAGTGCAGTCTTTTTGTATGGTGCGTATGGCAATGGCTAATACATCACCCCAATATTAGGAGCTTAGTCTGTGTGAAGATTAAAGACAAGGCAATAAATCTGGAGTGAGGTCACTACAGTGAAATACTGTAATTGATTTCTGCTTAGTATTATGATTCCATGAGAGCAATTGTTATCCTAATCCTTAAGTACACAGATACAAGCACTCGAGTTTTAGCTTTGGGTGTAGTTATCAGTTCAGATGGAAACTATGGTCAACAAACTGAACTGGTCTTGGGAAGGGACCTTCTTGAGTTTCAAACTCAATGAATGTCAATGTACATATAACATGCCCTGAAGCATTACAATCAGCAGCATTTAAGAAGGTATTATTTTTGAAAGATGGTTTTAAAAATATTCCCTGGTGTAGTTTATAGCAACCTGTTGCAATTTAATCACCACAGAAAGAACAATGGGCAGCTCAATTTTAAAGAACTGAAGTGACTTGAGAAAACTCTGTGACCAATTTGCAGTTATATTGGCATTCAATAATCAGTTTGCTAGTAAATGCAAAAGCAAGTCATATTTTAAAAAAACATGCTATTAATCTTGTTCTGTCCAGAAAAAAAAGCAGCTTAATGTTAAGAGTTTTCTTAAAGGTCTGAAAATGAAAACAAATGGTGGAACCTCATAATTGTAATTAAGTAATCACTAGTCTTGTTGGCACGGCCAGTTTATAAAGTTGTGTTTTTTAAGTGCAAAAAGTAAAGGGTACATTATTTACATTGACTGCAAATAGTGCTCGAGTTCCACAATCTTTTGGTCCAGTTTGCTCAAATACAGATGAATTGCACTGATTGACCAGGACATGCCTTTGGATGCAACTGCCCTGGGCATCTCTAGAAGAATTGGAGCCATATCAAGGCATCCCACTTCTCCACAAAACTCACTTTCCACTCGGTGTCAATCTATGGAAGGGACAATGACTGGTGCTTGTAAAATGTAACCCAGTGAGGAGTCAATGGTGAGAATGTAAATGGGGGAACATTGAGGAAAACTGTTGAGATGAAGGATGTTCCCGTGTCACTGAATTTTCTTGAATTATTTAGACATCAAAAGAGCCCTTGCTTTGTTCAGTTGCTTCAGGGAATCCGTCAATCTTTTACGTTTGCTTGTAATCTCAGAATGCTCATCCAGCAGGCCATCAGTATCTGCTTCATTGAGAAATCTTTCAGTCATCTGCAGCTTGACACAATGTGCAAATTCTTGCAGAAGATGATATCTTGAAACCATGGGTACCATTTGAACCAATCGATCAATAGCAACCTGCATAATTTAAGGAAATAAATACTTAAGGTTTCTGAGTTGGAACTCAGTTTCAATGACAGCCATTTCACCTTAAAGAGAAGAAATAAAAAAGATTTTGCATCTTCCATGACGTCAAAGCATCCCATTCTATTTGGACTTCCATAAGACATTCAACAAGGTACTTCACGAAAGGTTAAGTGATAAGAGCCTCAGTGTTGGAGTTAGTATATTGGCATTGATGGAGAATTAGCTTATGGGCAGGAAAGAGTGAGTGAGGATAAGGGGTTCTTTTTCAGATTGGTGGCCTGTGACCAGTGGAGTTTCACAGGGATCAGTACTGGGATAACAGCTGTTTACAATATATATTAATAGCGTGGAAGAAGGAAGTGAACGTACTGTAGCCAATAATTGCAGATGACATAAAAATAGGTGGAAAGGCTAGTTGCAAAAAAGTTACAGTTTATAGAAAGGTATTGGTAAGTTAAGTGAGTAAGTAAGAAATTGGAAAATGGAGTAAAATGTGAGAACATGTGAAGTGGCTAATTTTAAAAGGCAGAACAAAAGAACAGAGGGTTGCAGAGAAACTGCAGAAAGCTGCAACTCAAAGGGGTCTTCAGGGTTATTTGAGCATGAAACACAGAAAGCTAATCAGGAAGGCAAATAGAATATTGGCCCTTATTTCAAGGGAGTTGGAGTACAATAGACAATTGTCTTAATGCAACCAAACAAGTTGCTGGTGAGGCCACATCTGGTGTACCGTGAGCAGTTTTAGTCCCCTTATTGGAGGATTTTTAAAAATTCATTTGTGGGATGTTATATCACTGGCTGGCCAGCATTTCTCGCCCATCCCCAGTTATCCTTGAGAAGGTGGTGGTGAGCTGCCTTCTTGAACTGCTGCAGTCCACTAGCTGTGGGTAAACCTACAATGCCATTAGGGAGGGAATTCCAGGATTTTGACCCAGCGACAGTGAAGGAACGCCGATATATTTCCAAGTCAGGATGGTTGGAGGGGAACTTGGACGTGGTGATATTCCTATATGTCTGCTGCCCTTGTCCTTCTAAATGGAAGTGGACATGGGTTTGGAAGGTGCTGTCTGAGGATCTTTGGTGAATTTCTGCAGTGCATCTTGTAGATAGTACACACTGCTGCTACTGAGCATCGGTGGTGAAGGGAGTGGATGCTTGTGGATGTAGTGCCAATCAAGCGGGCTGCTTTGTCCTGGATGGTGTCAAGCTTCTGGAGTGTTGTTGGGGCTGCACTCATTCAGGCAAGTGGGGAGTATTCCATCATACTCCTGACTTGTACCTTGTAGATGGTGGACAGGATTTAGGGAGTCTGGAGTTACTCGCTGCAATATTCTTAGCTTCTGACTTGTTCTTGTAGCCACTGTGTTAATGTGGTGAATCCAGTTGAGTTTCTGATCAATGATAACTCCCCAGGATGTCAATAGTGGAGCATTCAGTGATGGTAATACCATTGAATATCGAAGGGTGGTGGTTAGATTGTTTCTTATTGGTGATGGTCATTGCCTGGCATTTGTGTGGCACAAATGTCACTTGCCATTTGTCAGCCCAAGGAATTATATCATTTTATTGGAGGCAGTTCTGAGAGGGTTCACTAGGATGGGATGGAGGGATTGCCTTATTAGCGAAGGCTAAATAGATTGGGTCTCCACTCACTGGAGTTTAGAAGAGTTGAACTCATTGAAACACATAGAATCGTTAAGGGGCTTGACAGGGTAACTACTGAGAGGGTGTTTTCCCTCATGGGAGAGTCTAAGACCAGAAGGCATAGTCTCAGTATAAATGAGCACCAATGTAAGACTGAGAGGAGGAAGAATTTCTCATCTCAAAGGGTTGTGATTCTTTGGAACTCCTTCCCGCAGAAAGCTGTGGGGGCAGAGTCCTTGTGCATATTTGAGGCTGAGTTGGATAGATTCTTGATCAGTTGGGGAATCAAGGATCGTATTGAAAGGGCAGGAAAGTGGACATGAGGAATGCTGCATCAACCATGATCCTATTGAACGGCTGTGCAGGCTTGAATCATAGAATCCCTAGAGTGCAGAAAGAGGCCATTCGGCCCATTGAGTCTGCACTGACCCTCTGAAAAGGATCTCACTCCAACCTACATCTCCACCTTTACCAAGACTAACCCACCAGCCTGCACATCCCTAGACACTACAAGGCAATTTAGCATGGCCATTCCACATAAGCTGCACGTTGGCCCATCTGTGCATTGCCCTTAGTCTGTATCGACCCTCCAAAGAGGATTCCATTCTATCCCCATAAACCCACATTTACTTACCATTTTAACCCACCAGCCTGCACACTATGAGGCAATCTAGCATGGCCAAACCACCTAACCTACAAATCTTTGGACTGTGGGAGGAAACCAGAGCCCCCAGAGGAAACCCAAGCAGATGTAGGGAGATTATGAAACTCCACACAGACATTCACGCAAGACTGAAATTGAACCCCAGTCCCTGGTGCTGTGAGGCAACAGTGCTAACTACTGAGCCACCATGCTGGTCAAAGGACACATCAGTTTAATGCCTCTTCTGAAAGAAATGGTCTCCATCAGTATCACATTCACTCAGTGGTGAACACAATAAAACAGAAGTATCTCACTAGAAAATTTACTTTTGGAGACTCACCTGATAATAGGCTTGTAAATAAGCTGCCATTTCATGGCTTGAATTACGTGGTGAATTGAACTCCCGCTGATTGCCTTTCTCAGATCTTGATTGAATCTCTGACAGTTTGGAGCCATACATCGCATCTGGTGCATAGACCATGCCCTCCATGTTGAAATGCATCCTTAACATCTGCTCTGCAACCTGTTCCCGTTCGTGTCGGATTTCAGCAATTAAGTCCTACAAGAAAGGATATTTGTAATGCATTTGAGCGTCTAAAATAGTTCCTGTTCTCCCTATAATCCCTCCTTCTCTTTAACATCTGGAACACCACAGTTGAGGAAACATTATTTTATTTATTCACAGGATGTGTGAATCTCTGGCTGTGTTAGTATTCATCCTTCATCAAGCTTGAACTGTTGACTTGTTAGGATATTTTCAGAGGGCAGTTAAGAGTCAATCACATTGCCGTGGGTCTGCATGTAGGCCAGACCAGGTAGGGATAGCAGATTTCCTTCCCTAAAAGACATTAGCAAACTAGATTAGTTTTTATAAATGATTGCCAATAGTTACATGGTCACCATTAGACTAGCTTTTCGATTCCACATTTTATCTTATTGAATTCCAATATCACCAACCGCCAAGGAAGGATTTGAACGCATGTCCCCAGCTCGTTTTAGATTGACTCTGAGTGACTAGTTTGGACCCACGCAGCATGACCACCACCAGCTCAGAGGTGGTGGACGTGGAAGTGATGACGTGGTTGGCAACAGAAAAGGTGCATGTTGCTAGGACCCCACAGACAACGTCAGATGGTGGTGACGGGAGGAGCAGAGAGGGTGGAGTCTTCTTAGAGGGGAAAATGAACTTTTGAAGCTGTTTTAGTTTTAGAAATATCAATGTAACATTAAGCTATTCAGTATTTTACCATTTCTACAATTTATTCAGTCATCCAAAACGGCGCCGGGATGTGGCGACATTATCCACTTTTCACTGTACCTAGGTACAAGTGACAATATGTTAAATAAATAGTGAGATTATGATTACACTACCTTCCATTGGAGGGGATGCAGCATAGGGTCACCAGGGAAAGGCTAGGAGTGTCAAATAATTTATACAAATGACTCGGTTTGCAGTCCCTTGAAGTAGAAGATTAAGGAGATGATAAACAGGCTGCATCTCTTTTCTCATGAAAATAGAACCATTTGGGCTAGTCAAGTAGAGAACATTAATCTAGACAAGATATAGATGATGCAAATATAGTTTCCTCTTGTGGGGAAGAATAATATTGGAAGTGATCATTTGAAGATTGTCAACAAGAAATCAAATAAGAGAAATCAGAAGGAACATCTTTACACATGGAGAATGTGGAATCTGTTACTAGAGAAATTGTTTGAGGCTGATTGTATATCACATATAAGGGAAAGCAAGATAAGCATGTAAAGGAGATGAGGAAAAAAGGTTATGCTACTGGTACCAGATTGGAAAAGGTATGTGCAGAATGGAGTGGAGAACACTAGGATGGATTAGACAGACTGAATGGCCTCTTCTTTTACTGTATGTACTATGAAATTTTCATGTCGCAGATCTTGTTTCCACATTAACTTGTTAACAAATGTACCTTGCTTGCTTGCATTAGATTTGGAAAAGGATTAAAATGTTCAACTCCCATTATGTTAAACACTTGCTGGGTTTTATCTGTGAAGATAACATAAGATGTCATTCGATTATACATATTGTCACAAAACATGATTATACATAAACGGTTTTCAATACAATTGTGAACATGAAGAGGCAAACAATGGTGCTCCAGTGAGAATTAGTCATTGAAAGATCATAATGGATGATAATAATGGGCCAGACCTTTTCCATTTCCTACAAAACATTACTGAGTGCTTCGGTTTGCCTCATGAAAGGGAATTTTTTTATAAGTAAAGAAGGTCAAGTATTTCCATCACATATTTCACAGTCCCAGTGTTGTGTATAGACTTGAAAGGGTCTTAAAGGGTTAGTGTCTAATTTAGTGCAATAAGAACCATTCACTGTGAGGATGCTATGAGAACTTGATGTGAGTAAAGTAGGAGGCAAACCTAAGATTAGGTCCTCCCAAGCCTTTGTAGTAATGTAGAAGCAATTCTTATAACCTGTAATAGTTACAGAAAAGCAATAACTACATTTTCTATATTCTACAACATACTTCTTATTAAAGCAAAAGGCAGCTACCCTTGCACACCACCGGACCATGTAATCCCCTACAGAACCCACACATTTGGAAGGTGCAGAAGGTAGTACATACAACATGGTGATCACTGTGGCATCTGAACATTTAGTTTAGCAGCACCAGTCCCAATGAGACAAATAGGCACCTTCAAGGAAAATAGATTTCTGAGGACTGTTAACTCCATAAAATCCTTCTGATAAAACTCAACAATGGTGAATACGTTGAAGAGCAAGACAGAAAGTGCTTAAATCTGGTAAGAAGTGAGCTAGAGCAGAGGAAATCTGCAGTCCCCAGGCAAACATATAATCTGCATCTTGAGGCAGTGGTATGTGGGTGGTGGAGGTCTAAGATTCAAGTGGTTTACAGTCAAAGCGGTCTCAAGTGTTGGTGAGGCAAGATATCAGGAAGGTGAGGTTGAGCATATCGTAGGACATGTCTCAAGAATTAGGGGAGTCTTAGCAATTGGGTGGCTTGGGAGCTGAGGGAAAAGTAAGGGGGGAGCTGATGTGAGGGGCTCAAGAGTTGGGAATTGGAGAAGGGGCTTAGTAGTTGGGAGTTTGGGGAGGGACCTGGGAGCCTGGATTGGCAAACTTGGGAGATGGAACGTGAAGTTTAGAGGCTCAAGTTCAACATATAAGAATTGATTACTGTGATTTCTGGGTCAATTGAATTTCCTCAAGCTGTTCTTTAACTTGTTGTAAACTAGTTGACAAATAGTGGCCTCAATAAATTATTCAATGATTATTATTCTATCCTGGTATCTACCAGAAAGGTAGGTAGTGAAACAGAGGAGTCTTGGCCAATTATCTTCAAGTAATTCCCTTGTTGCTAAAAACCACAGACAGCTTGGAAACTGTTGGGTCTTGCAAAATGACTGTTCTTAACTACTGTCTGCCTGAAACCAGGAGGAATGAAAGAGTAGAGTCTCAGTTCAAATAAATACAAAGCAACCTCATGGATAATGCTGAAAGCGGGAAAGAGTTCCTTGTTAATGATATAGGTTTATAAGATTTTGAAGTTACTGCCGGAATGGAATCCAGCTGGTTTTCAGTAACTAATAGATCTAGCTGTGCACTCCATTGATGGTCCTCCTTAATAAGTTTTTTTCAAAGGATAAAGGTAATGCATAAGGTACTTGATTAATGCAAGCCATTGGGACAATATAAATTCAAGTCCATTTTTAATACAGGAGATTGTCAGAATTACAGATTCACCAAACTTAGTCAATTTTTTTCATGATAACCTTAAGTCACTGATCTCAGCTACAACAGACTCCTGATTAAACTGGAAACTTGTCCTTTTCTATTTTACCTGCAAGTTCTTTCATCATTTGGAGAGAGGGCCCCAGTAACTTATGGATCTGTTCTCGAATAACAGATTCAAATACTCGGTATTTTGTGAATCCAGGCAGCTCTCTCCCTTGAGAGTTTTTATCATCGAACCTGACCTTTGAGAGTGCTTCTTCATTAACTGAAAACAACAACAAATCATAAAACAAATAATTAAATTGATTATATACATGTAGGAGTAAATATCTAATTTCAATAACCAAGAGACTGAAACTATTCGATTGTTCTAAATTTCCTTTTGGTTCACAACTGCTTTTAGGGAAGGAAATCTACCTTCTTTGTCTCGTCTGACCTACAACGCAACTCCAGAGCCACAGCAATGTGGTTGACCCTTAACTCCCCTGCAAAAGGGTCCAGCAAGCCACTCAGATGTTTCAAACCTTGTGTCAGTTGTATATCCATGGATTATTAACCATTTACTTTCCTGAAGCAGAAGAATTGGCCATTCTGAGTTTCATATTGCACTTCTGATGAAGTTTGAATGAATTACAATTGGTGAAAATGTTTGAGTTTTAAAGTAATAAACACAACACAGTTTGGGAATTGAGCCTGAACCTTGTGGATTACAATTCTATCAATTTTTCCTGAAGGAAAATCCCAAAGAATAGAGGGCTTGGAGTATGCTCTAAATGACAAAGCCAAACACTTTCCTTGAAAGAACAGAGAGAAAAGTCTATTTAACAAGTGGTTGCTGGTCATACTGAACCTGTCATTTTACAATCATGGGAACAATACACAAGAATGCCAATGCAAGGGGTAAACCAATATTTATACTAGAAAGGAGATTTCTGTTTGGTTAGCAAGCATAATCGTTCACAGACTCAAGATTACCCAGTAAATGATGTCCAATGCAGAATCACATTTAATGCTGGACACTGTGTTGTAGGTTTGAAGAGCAGGATGGTTGGGGATGGTTCAAGACTTGCCTTTTGCGAACAGCCATGCTTTACATGATACACCAATTTTTGGACTTATGGTTTACATAACTGGCATCAAACTGGAACTGAAATTTGTATCTCACACTGCTCGTATGTCTGGAGGCAGAACATCAAGAAGGAATGGTGCCTTCATTACAGTGACATCCAACCTCCTATCCCTTGCATATTTTCAATATACAGATGATATATTTGATACATTTGAATCCACAGGTGCAAATAAGAATTTAGGATTACCAGTCAGGCCTGTGGTGTGGTACACACATGTGTATTGCAAGCTACACATAAGAATGCTCAGGGCTCTTCTCTTGCAGACTGAAAGAACAAGTGCATATGCTTGTTTTGATTCAAAAATGTAGGTGTCAGCATTAGCTGGTCCATTTCATAGGGAAATGCTCTAACCAATCAGTGTCAACATGCCTGGTTTGAAATCAAAACAACATCTGGCAGTTAACAGTCAGTCATCATTAACTGATTCATAGCAATGTCTCTACCAATGAGAGACTACCTGTCAACCAAACAAAATTCCATTCTTCTGTGGTATAAATGTTTGTTTTCTCTTTATTTGTATTCTTGTGAATTGTCCTGATTTGGTGGCTCAGTGGTTATCATTGCTGCCTCACAATACCAAGAACCAGGGTTCAATTCCAGCCTTCCAGACTGTCTGTGTGGAGTTTGCATCTTCACTCACATCTATGTAGGTTTCCTCTGGTTTCCTCTCACAGTCCAGAGATGTGCAGGTTAAATAGATTGACCATGTTAAATTGTCTGTAGAGTCCAGTGATATGCAGGCTCAGTGGATTAGCCATTGGAAATGCAAGATTGCAGGAGAGGGTAGGGGGCTGAGTCTGGTTGGAATGCTTTTTTGGTGGGGGTTCAATGCAGACTCAATGGGCCAAATGGGCCACACTGTAGGGATTCTATGATTCTATTCTACTCATTCTGTGAGTACAAGATGTAAAGCTTCACCAAAAGTTCTGCAACATTTGGCAAAGAAACAAGTAAATAACATAAACAATACGTACGTCTGACTTTCTCGATCTCCAGCCTGTTGTACCACTTTGAAAATACCTTGCGAGAAAAGTCACATATCTTCTTTTCATTGTCATAGTCCTTCTTGTAATCTCCCATGACTAAATTAGTGAGCTCTTCACAGTAGCTTAGAATTTTCTGCAATTATATCAGCAAACAGTGTGTTATTTGACAGCAGTCATTGTGTCATGTTAAGATGGAAATACGCAAACTGACAAGGTTTAAGTTATAACATCTTAGTGCAAACGTACTGATCATGTTTATTTACCAGATGTCTAGACATGCTAATAACAGCTACTTTACAACATCTGATCCAAACTACTGATTGGTTTTCTGATCAGGATTTTCAGGTCTCTATATGGTCTGACCACTAGTCCTTAAAGTCTTCCCTTGATTCCGTATTGAAACAAAGGAAGAAATTATTTTCCTTAGTGTGTGGCATAGATCCTTTTTATTTGACCTACAAGTTCTTCCATCATTTGGAGAGAGGACTCCAGCAATTAATGAATCTGTTTTTGAGTGACAATTCAAGTACACTTTACTTGAGTGCATGCCCCTGTTTTTTTTTGAGTTTTTATGTTTTATTTCACAACTGCTGTACACAAAGGGGCAATACAACAGATTGATGTACGAGATCTTCTCTTGACCAGCTTCTAAGGTGCCTTCAAAATGGGTGATCTTCATAAAAGATGTCGAAACAGCAGCATCAGAGTCCATTTGCCATGTAAAGACTCAACATGCCACTGTTTGTCTACTCCCCACGGTTGCCAACCTCCAGGATTTCTCAGGAGACACCAGACTACGAAGATTAATCTCCAAGACTCAGGGGAGAAAATGAAAGGGGCATTGAAGTAAAATATCTGCAGCATTTTTATTTGCTGCATAAATGCAATGTATAAACGTGATGAGAAAGAATAGGTTGATATCAAAAAATGGAAGTATGTGGAGTTAGGACATAATACAGCCCGTGGATCCACAGCTGTTCACAGTGCGTACTAATGATTCAGATGTGGGGACCAATTGTAATATTGCCAGATTTACTGATGACACCAATCTGGCTGGGAATATTAGCATATAATGAAGGTGTAAGGAGGTTTCAAGATGTCCTGGGCAAGGTAAAGCTAGAACACGGCAGACAGAATACAATGTGGGTAAGAATATTTCTTAGATTGGGAGATTGGGAAGTGTGGTTGTGCAAATGGAACTGGGTGTCCTTGTCTTTGAATCACTAGAAACTAACTTGAAGGTGCAGCAAACAATTAGAAAGGCCGTGATAAATTGGTTTTTATTCCAAGGGGAGTTGAGTCCAGGAGTAAAGATGTCTTGCTACAGTTGTATAGAGCCTTGGTGAGATCTCCCCAGAGTACTGTGTACATTTTAAGTCTCCTTATCTAAGGAAGGATATACTAGCCAGAAGGGGAATGCAATGTTGGTACACCAGCTTAACCCCTAAAATGGTGGGATTGTTTTATGAGAGAATGAGACAGAGATTGAGGAAGCTGAGTCTGCATTCTCTCAAGTTTTGAAGAATGTGAAGTGACATCTTTGGAACAAAGTTCTGACAGATCCTGACAGGGTGGTGCCACACATTCAGCTGCTGAATAAGACACAAGCACATGGTGTTGGAGGGAGTATGTTAGCATGGATAAAGGATTGGTTAACTAATACAGAGAGTTGAGATAAGTTGGGGTGTGGGTGTACCTTCCAGGATGGCAACCTGTAACTAATGGTATACCTCAGGGATCAGTGCTGCGGCCACAATTATTTACAACATATGTCACTGACTTGGTTGAGGAAAGTGATTATGCTATAGCCAAATTTGCAGATTACACAAGCATTGGAGGGAAGGCAAGTGGTCAGATACAAAGAGGGATATAGATAAGTTATGTGGGGACATGTGGGGTTATGTATTTTGGTAGGAAGAACAGAAGACCTGAATACTTGTTAAATGGAGAAAGACTGCAGAAAGCTGCAGAACAGAGGAATCTGGGAGTCCTGGTCTATGAATCGCAGGAAGCAAGTTCAGTGGGTCATAGGGAAGGAAATATTCTATTGGCTTTTATTTCAAAAGGAGTGAAATGTAAAAGTTGGGAAGTTTTGCTAAAACTGTACAAGGCATTAGTCAGACCCACAGCTGGAATACTGTGAACACTTTTGGGCCCCTTATCTGAGGAAAGATATACCAGTATTGGAGGCAGTCCAGAGAAGGTTCACAAGGCTGATATCAGGTATATGAAGAGATTGTCTTATGAGGAGAGGTCAGTACCTTGTGCTCACTGGAAAAAGAAGAATGAGAGATGAAACATACAAGGCGTTTAGAGAACTTGACAGGGTAGGTGCAGAGATCTTGTTTCCCTTATGGGAGAGTCTAGGACCAGAGGGCATTATCTCGGAATAAGGGGTCACACATTTAAACAGAGTTAAGGAGGAATTTTTTTTTCTCTCAGATGGTTGTGAATCTACGGAATTCTTTACCAGATGATTGTTGAGGCTGGGTCATTAATTATATTCAAGGCTGAGTTGGACAGATTTTGAGTTAATAAGGGAATCAATAGTTATGGAGGTATAGCAGGAAAATGGAGTTGAGGATTATTAGATTAGCCATGAGCTCGTTGAATCTCAGAGTAGACTTAATGGGCTGAATGGCCTCCTTCTGCTCCAACATAATATGGTTTAAGAGATTGAACCTTTTTTTGTTTTACTTCCATTGTAATCTCCCCCTCCAAATGTCACCTCCCATCATCAGATTTCCATTAAGTGAGGTGCATTAAAATTAAGGCCTGTGACTTTGTCAGCTAATAAAAATCTACAAGGACACTTGTTTTAGCTCACATTGTTCAGGAAACATTTTCTCGCCTGAACTTCCTCTGGAATATTGCCACTGAGCTCATTCAATTTAGTTCTGACCTGAATGACTTTCTCCCGAAGAGCTTCCTCCATAACTGGCAGCCAGCCCTTTACAAAGAGAATAAGTTTAACAAATTATGCACACGGAAATATTGGAATATAAGTATTGTTAATTAAACTCAGAGCACTCTGTGCTGTTGATACATTCAGTCTGTGCTGCCGTTTTCCCACTGTTCTTGAAGGGCATTCTTTCTCAGGGGTATGCTTCAGAGGCTTTACTGGTATTTACCTGCCTTTGTCCCTTGGCTCCTATTCAGAAGATAAGTGTTGTGCTAAGACTTGAAGATACTGTTGTAGCTTTGTGATGATGTCATGAGTTGCTCCTTACTAGGCAGAAATAGCACAGTGTGGGCAGGGTTCATGAGGGAGAGAGAAACACATTGAGAACTAGGCAGAAGTCTAAAGTCTAGCCATGTACGAAAGCATATGGAGGAGACCAACCACCATTAGGTGGAAGAATTATAGAATCATCTTTCCATAATGTAACAGCAAGCTTAGAACATAGAACATAGAACATTACAGCGCAGTACAGGCCCTTCGGCCCTCGATGTTGCGCCAACCTGTGGAACCAATCTGAAGCCCATCTAACCTAAACTATTCCATTATCATCCATATGTTTATCCAATGAACATTTAAATGCCCTTAAAGTTGGCGAGTCTACTACAGTTGCAGGCAGGGCATTCCACGCCCTTACTACTCTCTGAGTAAAGAACCTACCTCTGACATCTGTCCTATATCTATCACCCCTCAATTTTAAGCTATGTCCCCTCGTGCTAGCCATCACCATCCGAGGAAAAAGGCTCTCACTGTCCACCCTATCTAATCCTCTGATCATCTTGTATGTCTCTATTAAGTCACCTCTTAACCTTCTTCTCTCTAACGAAAACAGCCTCAAGTCCCTCAGCCTTTCCTCATAAGACCTTCCCTCCATACCAGGCAACATCCTGGTAAATCTCCTCTGCACCCTTTCCAATGCTTCCACATCCTTCCTATAATGCGGCGACCAGAACTGTATGCAATACTCCAAGTGCGGTCGCACCAGAGTTTTGTTCAGCTGCAACATGACCCCATGGCTCCGAAACTCAACCCTTCTACCAATAAAACCTAACACACCGTATGCCTTCTTAACAACCCTATCAACCTGGGTGGCAACTTTCAGGGATCGATGCACATGGACACCGAGATCTTTCTGCTCATCCACACTACCAAGAATCTCACCATTAGCCCAGTACTCTGTATTCTTGTTACTCCTTTCAAAGTGAATCACCTCACACTTTTCCGCATTAAACTTCATTTGCCACCTCTCAGCCCAGCTCTGCAGCTTATCTATGTCCCTCTGTAACCTGTAACATCCTTCTGCACTATCCACAACTCCACCGACTTTAGTGTCATCCACAAATTTACTAACCCATCCTTATATGCCCTCATCCAGGTCATTTATAAAAATGACAAACAGCAGTGGCCCCAAAACAGATCCTTGAGGTACACCACTAGTAACTGAACACCAGGATGAACATTTCCCATCAACCACCACCCTCTGTCTTCTTACAGCTAGCCAATTTCTGATCCAAACCGCTAAATCACCCTCAATCCCATGCCTCCGTATTTTCTGCAATAGCCTACTGTGGGGAACCTTATCAAACGCTTTACTGAAATCCATATACACCACATCAACCACTTTACCCTCATCCACCTGTTTGGTCACCTTCTCAAAGAACTCAATAAGGTTTTTGAGGCACGACCTACCCTTCACAAAACCGTGTTGACTATCCCTAATCAAATTATTCCTTTCTAGATGATTATAAATCCTATCTCTTATAATCCTTTCCAACACTTTACCCATAACCGAAGTAAGGCTCACTGTTCTATAATTACCAGGGTTGTCTCTACTCCCCTTCTTGAACAAGGGGACAACATTTGCTATCCTCTAGTCTTCTGGCACTATTCCTGTAGACAATGACAATATAAAGATCAAAGCCAAAGGCTCTGCAATCTCCTCCCTAGCTTCCCAGACAATCCTAGGATAAATCCCATCCGGCCCAGGGGACTTATCTATTTTCACACTTTCCAGAAATGCTAACACCTCCTCCTTATGAACCTCAATCCCATCTAGTCTAATAGACTGTATCTCAGTATTCTCCTCAACAACATTGTCTTTTTCCTGTGTGAATACTGACGAAAAATATTCATTTAGCGCCTCTCTTATCTCTTCGGACTCCACGCACAACTTCCCAATACTGTCCTTGACTGGCCCTAATCTTACTCTAGTCATTCTTTTATTCCTGACATACCTATAGAAAGCTTTAGGGTTTTCCTTGATCCTACCTGCTAAAGACTTCTCATGTCCCCTCCTGGCTCTTCTTAGCTCTCTCTTTAGGTCCTTCCTGGCTAACTTGTAACTCTCAAGCACCCTAACTGAGCCTTCATGCCTCATCTTTACATAAGCCTCCTTCTTCCTCTTGACAAGAGATTCAACTTCTTTAGTAAACCATGGTTCCCTCGCTCGACCACTTCCTCCCTGCCTGACAGGTACATACTTATCAAGGACACGCAGTAGCTGTTCCTTGAACAAGCTCCACATTTCAATTGTGCCCAGCCCCTGCAGTTTCCTTCTCCATCCTATGCATCCTAAATCTTGCCTAATCACCTCATAATTGCCCTTCCCCCAGCTATAACTCTTGACCTGCGGTATATACCTATCCCTTTCCATCGCTAAAGTAAACGTAACCGAATTGTGGTCACTATTACCAAAGTGCTCACCTACCTCCAAATCTAACACCTGGCCTGGTTCATTACCCAGTACCAAATCCAATGTGGCCTCGTCTCTTGTTGGCCAATGTGTCAGGAAACCCTCCTGCACACATTGGACAAAAACTGACCCATCTAAAGTACTCGAACTATAGCGTTTCCAGTCAATATTTGGAAAGTTAAAGTCCCCCATAACAACTACCCTGTTACTTTCGCTCCTATCCAGAATCATCTTTGCAATCCTTTCCTCCACATCTCTGGAACTTTTCGGAGGCCTATAGAAAACTCCCAACAGGGTGACCTCTCCTTTCCTGTTTCTAACCTCAGCCCATACTACCTCAGTAGATGAGTCCTCATCAAACGTCCTTTCTGCCACCGTAATACTGTCCTTGACGAACAATGCCACACCTCCCCCTCTTTTCCCACCTTCCCTGATCTTACTGAAACATCTAAACCCCGGAACCTGCAACAACCATTCCTGTCCCTGCTCTATCCATGTCTCCGAAATGGCCACAACATTGAAGTCCCAGGTACCAACCCATGCTGCAAGTTCACCCACCTTATTCTGGATGCTCCTGGCGTTGAAGTAGACACACTTCAAACCACCTTCCTGCCTGCCGGTACACTCCTGCGACCTTGAAACCTTATTCATGACCTCACTACTCTCAACCTCCTGTACACTGGAGCTACAATTCAGGTTCCCATCCCCCTGCTGAATTAGTTTAAACCCTCCCGAAGAGCATTAGCAAATTCCACCCCCCCCAGGATATTGGTACCCCTCTGGTTCAGGTGTAGACCATCCCGTTTGTAGAGGTCCCACCTACCCCAGAATGAGCCCCAATTATCCAGATATCTGAATCCCTCCCTCCTGCACCATCCCTGTAGCCACGTGTTCAACTGCTCTCTCTCCCTATTCCTTGCCTCGCTAGCACATGGCACGGGTAACAAACCAGAGATAACCACTCTGTTTGTTCTAGCTCTAAGCTTCCACCTTAGCTCCTTGAATTTCTGCCTTACATCCCCATCCCTTTTCCTACCTATGTCGTTGGTGCCTATGTGGACCACGACTTGGGGCTGCTCCCCCTCCCCCTTAAGGATCCCGAAAACACGATTCGAGATATCACGGACCCTGGCACCTGGGAGGCAACACACCAACTGTGAGTCTCTCTCGTTCCCACAGAATCTCCTATCTGCTTAGAACATTGCATATCTATGAATACAATGTATTGTAACATTTAGTCTTGATGCATAATAATAGATGTTATAAAGAAATCCAAGCCAGTTCTTGACCTTGCCTTCTCCTCAACCAGTTTACCTTGAGCCCAAACTCGTAGACGTGTGTATAAAACCACATGATAAAAGAATAAGTCCCTTGTCTCTCACTGTGAAAATATCAATTGTCCAAACCTAAACTGCTTTTTGAGAGTGTGGGTTCTAATTATCCTATACCGTCTGGAGAACACAGACACTGCTTGATTTTATTCCTGTAAGGGTTTAGCTGCATTTCTATGATGCAATCTCCTACTTCTCCACAAGAAGAAAAATCTCCTTTGTTAATGATGTTGCATTCCTTTATCAAATTCAACATTAACCAATGCCTATTTTCTACCTGGTAACAAGTACTACATATGACGATATAATCCATGCCTCTCAACGAAACATCTGCATCCTGTCTCCTTTGGCCCTATTGTATTGATTGAAAGGCTTCACCATACAAAGTAAATGTAACTAACCATGATTTGATGAATGAGTTCACTGGTGAGTTTTTCAGACAAATGTTCAAAGGATGCAATGCCTTTCTCCAGCAGTGGCCTATGGAGATAGAAAGGGACATACACATAGATTTATAAAGGTAGTGGAGCATTTCCTTTTTTTTCTTTATTCATGCATGGGATAGGGGCATCACTGGCCAGGCAGCATTTATTGCCCATCCCTAATTACCCAGAAGGCAATTGAGAGTCAACCACATTTGCTCCGTCAGTTTCTGTTCTCAGTCATTCATGAGGTTTTCCAGTCAAATTTGGTCTGATAACTCACCTTTGGGCATTTTAGCATATCTAAGGGTGTTACAAAAGTGCAAGTTGTTGTAGCATACCTGAGCAGAACCGAGAGAGAGGTAACTTTCCCTCAAATTTTTATTAGTGTTGTTTTGCACCTAAACGTATGGGTGGGATGCAGAATGACTCACAGAAACAAATTCTGTCGTATTGTGTGAATCCACAGAACAGATTCATAGAGTTATAGAGATGTATAGTGTGGTCACCAGACCTGAAACCTTAACTCTGATTTCTCTTCACAGATGCTGCCGGACCTTCTGAGCTTTTCCAGCAACTTCTGTTTTTGGTTCGGATTTACAGCATCAGCAGTTCTTTCGGTTTTTAATGAAGGAACAGAAATAGACCATTCATGTCTTCCAGCTTTTATTTCTATTATCTATTCCAATGTAATTAACAATTCATGGATGTATTATTCTTCAATAAGATAGCTTGGAAATGCACCATCCCTGCCTGGTATTCAGCATTGTTTTGTCACAATGCGGAAAGGAAATTGCTTTGGCAAAATCAAAGTACATACCAACGATCGGGAAAGGTAGGGCAACCAAATCTAGAGCTTCCTGGATGACAACAGAGATGGAGGAATAAAAATCAGAGAAAGGATGCATTTAATAGATGTCAAGTTGACAATACAAGTGAGAACTGAATATAGGAAGATCAAATTGGAAATGAAAAAGAAAACAGGAGAAGCCAAGAGACAATATGAAAAGACATTGACAGCTCACATAAAACATAATCCAAGATCTTCCAGAGATACATTAATATTAAAAATGTAAGAAGAGGAGGGCTGGCAGGCCAAGCCACATTGTTGAGGTTCTAAATGAAGACATTGCGCATGACTTTGCCAATATAGGTGCTGTTGGCATTTTAGTAAATGAAGAAATAGTTGAGACACAAGATGGGCTAAAAGTTGATAAAATGGAAGTATTAGATGAGCTGACTGTGCTTAAATTAATAAGTCTGAAGCGACGTTGATGCAACAGTCAAGAACACTCTTCATGCTCGGGAGGCTAAAGAAATTTAGCATGTCCTTAAGGATTCTCTCACCAACCTTTACAAATGCACCATAGAAACCATTCTATCTGGATTCATCACAGCTTGTACAACAACTGCTTTGCCCAGGACCATAAGAAATTACAGAGAGTTGTGACACTGTCCAGTCCATCATGCAAGGCAATCTTCCATGCATTGACTCCATCTATACTTCTCGCTGTCTCAGAAATCATCAAGAACCCCTCCCACCCACCCTGATTATAATCTCTTCCAACCTCTTCCGTCAGGCAGAAGATACAAACGTTTAAACACACATACTAAAGGGTTGAAGAACAGCTTCTTCCCCACAGTTATTAAACTTCTGAATGGATCTCTCAAATTTCAAAGCTAATGTCGATCTTGCTTTTTGTGCAGCTGTAATTTTGTATTCCTTGCTCTGTTCTTTCACCTTTTGATCTTTGTCTGGTATGATCTGCCTGCATTGCATGTAAAACAAAACTTTTCACTGTACTTAGGTACATGTGATGATAATAATAAATCAAATCAAATCACTTTTACCAGACGAAATGCATTTGAGAGTACTGAGGAAGAAAAGGGTAAAAATTGCAGAGGTACTGGCTACAAACCTTTAATTCTTCTTAAGGACTCGAGGAGGTATAGAGAAGATACTAGTGGACTGAACAATTGCAAATGTTACATGATGATCAGAAATAATGTCTAAGGTCTAACCCAGCAACTACAGTCTAGTTAATTTAACCTTACTGGTGCCAAATCTTTCAGATAACTGGGAACAAAAGTAATAGTCACTTGGAGGAGTGTTAATGAAAACTAATTTGATTAAATTCTTTGATAAAGTAACAAACAGAATTACTGAGAGAATTGCAGTGGATGTGGTCTATATGGACTTCCAAAGGGTTTTTGGTAATGTGCCATATAGCAAGCTAGTCAGAAAAGTTGAAATGATGGAATACTTTAGAAGGTAACAGTGTGGATATGAAGTTGGGTGAGTGACAAGTGAGAATAGTGGTGAATGGTGGTCTTCCACATTGGAAGAAAATCTAGAGTGGGGTCCTCCAGAAGTCAGTATCCGGACCATGAGCTTCATAATATATATTAAGGACTTATCCTTGTGAGTACAGAGCACTATTCCAAAATTTTGTGGATGACAAAATTTGAAAATGTTCTGAGCTGTGAAAAGAATAGTGATAGACTTCAAGATGTCATGGACAGGTCTATGGATTAGGTGGAGTCTTAAATTTAAAGTTGAAAGTTGATATGTTTTCGTCAGGAGAAAGAGGAAAGGTAACATAAATAAATATTAAAAAACCGAAAGAATTGCAGATGCTGTAAGTCAGAAACAAAAACAGAAATTGCTGGAAAAACTCATCAGGTCTGGCAGCATCTGTGAAGAGATATCAGGGCTAACATTTCAAGTCTGGTGACCCTTCCTCAGTTCTGTTTTTGTCTATAAAATAAATCATACAATTTGACAGAGCATGAACGAGAGACCGGGGGATATATGCACACAAGTCATTTAAGGTCATGATGTGGAGATGCCGGTGTATTTCACCTGACGAAGGAGCAGTGCTCTAAAACCTTATGATTTTGAATAAACCTGTTGGATTATAACCTGATGTTATGTGACTTCTGACCTTGTAATTTAAGGTGGCAGGGCAATTTGGGAAAATGGTTAAATAGGCCTAGGTGACCCCGGGTGTTAGAAATAGAGGCATAGAGTGTTAAGGAGGTCCTGACAAATTACTTTTTTCAGGCAATCTTGAAATCTCAGTTAAGTCCTAGAAGGCTACAATATTGGAAGGCTTGTGCCTCAGCAAGAGTTAGCACCATTGACAACACAAAGTAGCCTATTGATGGAAACAAAACTCAATTTGATAAGTAAGTAACAGACAAATTTGTTGTTAATGGAAAATAATACTGGAAAGCTGGGCTGTTCTTTAAAAATGTGATTTCTTCCTCCAATGCAGCTGACATTGTAGTATTTGCATTTAGTTCATTCTGCCCACGGCACTTGACAAGTACGTAACCCTTTTTCAGAGGGACAACTTTATTCTCAAGGATTTTGATAATGTTTTCTTCTGTACCTTTGTCAACCAAGTCTGGTTTTGTTAAAACACCTAGAAAATTAAACACAAGAGTTTAACAGGTCAAAGAAAGGGTATGGATTTTAAACCCGATCAATCTCCTCTCGAATGTCTTATTTATTGTATTGTTGTTGTGCTTGACCTACTCTTTTCAATGTGCGCTGGCCTCACACTTTTTTCTGCGTTATCATAAAGGGCACAATTTTGCATGACCTGTTGGTAACTTTTGGGTTGCTCTACAGATTGCAGGCCTACATTCCCCTCCCAAGTGGCTGTTACTTCCTATGTGAAGTAAGTTTCCTCAGTGTGAATTAGATAAGCAATGAATGTGGACAAATTGTACAACATTGTTCTCAACTCAGCAAAGTATCAGTACTGAATAATGTGCAGAGACAAGTAAACTGGGATTGCTTTCCTCAGAATAGAGAAGGTTAAGTGATGATTTAATAGAGGCATTCGAATCATTAAATGTTTTTGACAGAGTGGAGCAGGAGCGACATATTCAAATGGTGAATACGTTGGTGACCAGAAAATATAGATTGAAACTAAATAGCACAAGAAATAAGGTGGAGGTGGACATAATATTTCTTTCATGCTTAAAAAAACATTCAGGCACTGTCTGAAAGGTTACAGAGGGAGACTCACTACAATATTTACAGGGGCATAAACTTGAAAAGAAAAGATTTATAGAATTCAGGGGAGAAACTGGTAGAATGGGACAAATTGGATTACTTTTGAAGAGCTAAGCTGGTAGAATGGGCCAAATAGAATAGAACAGAATAGCTATTATTGTCACATATATTCAATGAGTATAGCGAAAAGTTTATACGTTGCCAATTAAAGCACCAATTTAGATACAAAAGTACCTGGGGTACAGCTTCTTTAGGCAATATAGAAGTAAAATGTCCAACATGGCAGAAATAAAATTTCAGTACAGCAGACCATGCTGGTCTGAGCTTCTGGTCAGCACCGGGGCCTGGCTCCACAATACACCAGCAACACACCATTCTAGGAGGCCACTGTGCCAGGACGGGAGGTCACCATGCTGCCATACCACACGACGCCATGTCAAACCATGCCAGGAGACTGCTGTGCCAGGCTGGGAATCGTCACCGGGAGGCCGGGAATCAAGGCAAGAAGGAGAAGAAGGTAAAAAGACACTCGGAGGAAGAAAAAGAGAAGAGAAAGAGTGGGTGGAGCGAATGGACTCAGGCAGGAGAATCCTGCTCTGCTGTCACCATGCAGATAATAATGTGTTGTATGATTCTATGGCTCTTTGAAAGTGGTTTCCTCATTCAAAAAAGTAAGCAGGAGGGTTGCAAGGTAATAACTCATTACTAGAGACAAAAAAAAACTTCAGATGTTGGATACAAGGTAGACAAACAGGCTGCTGCAAGAACACGGCAAACCAGGCAGCATCTGGAGGAAAGGAGAAGTCAACGCTTTGGGTATTACCCTTCTTCAGGATTGGATGTGGGGGTGGGGGGAGCTGCAGATAAAGTGGGTGGCGGGGAGAGGGATAGCAGAATGGAGGTGATAGGTGGACACTAAGAGCAGGTATGATCTGGTTGGTCGATGGGAGGGATGAACCTGGTTGGAGGCTGGAAGGGAGGGTCAGTAGGTAGAATGGAAGGGAGGAGGTGGGGCTGGAAAGGGACCCGGGGGATGAGTGGGAAGGTTATTTGAGATGTTGAGTTCTCTGGCTGTAGGCAGCCCAAGCAGAAGATAAGGTGTTGTTCCTCAAATTTTGAGCTCTGAATGGCTGTGATACTGGGGGAGGCTGAGGACAGACATGTCAGGGGTGAGTGGTGGGGGGAGTTGAAATGGGCAGTGACCAGGAGGTTAGTCTGGCCATTATGGGCCAGGTAAAGATGCTTGACGAAATGGTTACCTAGTCTACGTTTGGTCTCACCGATGTTGAGAAGACCACATCGGGAGCACTGGATGCAGTAGACGAGGTTGGAGGAGATGCAGATGAAGCTCTGTCTCACCTGGAAGGACTGTTTAGGGCCCTGGATGGAGGTGAGGGAGGTGTGTGTGTGGGCAGGTGTTGCATCTTTTACGGTTACAGGGGAAGGTACCGGGCAGGTTGGAGTGGTTGGTGTGGAGTGTGACGCGAACTGAGGAGTGGCAAAAGGAATGGTCCTTGCGGAAGGCGGAGATGTTTGGACAGTGGAAGATGTTCTAGGCAGTGGGGTCTAACTGGAGTTGGTGCAAGTGGTTGAGGCCAACTCCAATTAGAGCCCACCATCCAGAACAGAATCTGGGACTGCCTGCTAGTGATATTCTTCTCAAGAAGTCCTCTACACCCTGTCATTAACATCATTTAAAGCAAAACATTCATTCTTTCATAGAAAATACATTATTGTTGATTGACATTCAGATGGCCTTAAGAATAGCATAAGGCACAGTAGGACAGCTAGAGTTTTCTGTATTCATCCATAAGATGTGAGTGTTGCTGGCTAGGCCAGCACTTATTGCATGCTCCAGAGAACAATTAAGACTTAGCTACATTGCTGCAGACCTGGAGCCACATGTAGTCCAGACCAGGTAAGGATGGCAACTTCCTTCCCTAAGGGACATTAGAGAACCAGAGTTCATTTATACTGCCATGGAATGCATCAAAACAATTGCCAAATTTTTTACTTCAAATAAACTTGAGGAGATACTGAAAAGATGTCAATCCAAACTCTGATCCCATGTTCCCCATCAAGCGAACTAATTCATCAAAGAGAATGCCGGAGTTATTAAAATTTTGGACGTCAATTTATAGCCACATCCAGGGGAGAAACTGATACTCAATGCATCAGCTTCTTGGGCATAAAGTGGGCAAAATGCTGACAAGCATAGCAGTGGGACACCCAGCTCCAATATTTGCATTGAAGAGAGTGGAAAATTCCAGACTCACCCCTGCTCAGGACTTCCCTATACCCACTGTGGGTGCCAACGCAAGGTTAGGGGTGATCTACCTCTGCCGTTGCAACACTTCCAACTGGGAATTCCCAACAGGTTGTTGTCGGTGATGTCTAACATTTAGCAAGGTTGACTGGTGCCAGCAGGTTGATTATCACTTGGACTGAGACCCAATTTGAGAGTCCTTGTGCTGGGCAGTTACCACAAATAAATCTCTGAGTCTCGACAAAAAGTCAAACAAAGACAAAATTCAAACTCTCACTGTCCTATCACTTATAGTGTCAGTTCATCCTTCACTTGTTATCACCCAGTACTTCAGCAGAATTAACATCAATGGGGTTGTTTGAAAAGCAGCTGGGCTGAGTCAGCAAGAATGCTAGAGGAACAAGCTTAATAGAATCAATAGTCTAATGCTTAGGCTCAAAATATTTCTGACATCTCATCCATTTTATGCTATGCTTTCCCCACTGTTTCTGAATCTTTGTTTGATTTACCCAGTGTCCTTTCGCCTTCAGGATCAAATTCCTGTGCCATCTTCAAAGCTTCAGTGGTTGCAATGTCTATGGTGCAAGGGATGACAACCAAAATGATCGTTTCCTTTCTTTGAATATAGGTTTTGATGAGTCCTTTGATCTGGAAGAGAAATACTATTTACTATCATACTATAGGCAAAATCTTGCAAATTGAGTCAAGTGGTATGGGCAATATATGAACCAAGACGACAGGTTAGAGCTGGGATTAAGTGGTAATGGTCAGATTATGTGACCCACAGTCCTATTTAGGTTCCACTGGGAGGAGGGGATGTGGGTGATATAGTATCTCAAAAAGTGCCTCATGTACGTACTGAAAGATCTTTCATAGTGAGACTCGGATAATTTAAGAATAATTGTGCAGGAAAAGAAAATCATCCTTTGCTTGAGGAAGTAGTTCCTGACTTCAATCATCCACATTTTAAAAGTTTTAGAACCCTGACAGTGCAAGAAACCAGATATTTCTCTGTGACCTCATTGAACTACCTACCATAAATGGAGTTTTGACAAGAATCACTGCTGAATTCTATGCTGACATAAAAATGTGAGAAATAGGAGCAAGAGTAGCCTCTTCAGGCCTTGAAGCTTGCTCTGCCATTCAATATGATCATGGCTGATTATCCAACTTAGTACACTATTCTAGCTTTCCCCCTATCTTTTGATTCCTTTTGTCCTAAGAACTATACCTAACTGCTCCTTGAAAATATTCATGGTTAGCCTCAACCACTTCCTGTGACAGAGAATTCCACAGGCTCACTGCTTTCTGGGTTAAGAAATTTTTCCTCAACTCAGCACTAAGTGACCTACCCTGCATCCTTAGACTGTGAGACCTGGTTCTGGGGCTCTTCTTGCATTTACCCTGTCTATTCCAGTTAGAATTCTACAGGTTTCTGTAAGAGCTCCCGATTTCTTCTAAATGCCAGTGGGTTTAATCCTACTAATCCAGTATCTCTTCATACATCAGTCCTACTTTCACAGAAATCAATCAAGTAAACTTTAGTTGTACTCCGTCCAAAGCCAGAACATCCTTCCTCAGTTTGGGAGACCAGGCCTGCACACAATCCTCCAGGTGTGATTGCATCGATGCCCAGTAACACGTCCTGTTCCTGCACTCGAATTCTCTCACTATGAAAGAACAATTTACCTTCTTCACTGGTTGCTGCACCTGCATTCTGACTTTTAGCGACTTGTGTACAAGGACACCCAGGTCTCATTAAACCTCCCCTTTTCCTAATTTACCAAATTCACTTAATACTCTGTCTTTTGCTACCAAACTGGAACACATCACATTTATCCACATTGCACTTCATTTGCCATACATTTACCCACTCACTCAGCTGTCCAAATCACCCTGAAGCATCTCTGTATCCTCCTCACAGTTCACCCTCTCACACAGCTTTGTGTCAACAGGACCATCAATTAAATCATTCACCCGCAGCCATGATTACAGAGGCCAGTACATAGTTTCTTGAAAGTGGTGTCACAAGGTGGTGAAAAAGGCTTTTGACATGTTTGCCTTCATTGGTCAGACCATTGAGTAATAAGAGTTGAGACATCATATTACAGCTGTACAAGAGATAGGTGAGGCTACTTTTGGAATACTGCGTACAATTCTGGTCACCCTGCTATAGGGAAGATGTTGTTGACCTGGAAAAGGTGCAGTAAAGATTTATAAGGATGTTGCCTGGACTGAAAAGTTTGAATTGTAAGGAAAGGCTGGGTAGGCTGGGACCTTTTTCCTGCAGCATAGGAGGCTGAGGGGAGACCTCACAGAGGTTTATAAAATCATGAGTGGCATAGGTAAGGTGAATAGGAATGGTCTTTTCCAAGGGCAGGGGAGTCCAAAATTAGAGGGAGTAGGCTCAAGGTGAGAGGGGAAAATTTAAAAGGGACCTGAGGGGTAACTTTTTTCACACAGAGGGTGGTGCATGCATGGAATGAGGTGCCAGAGGAAATGGTAGAAGCAGGTACAATTACAACTTTTAAAAGTCATTTGGACAAGTACATGAACAGGCAAGGTTTAGTGGGATATGGGCTAAGTGCAGACAAATGGGACTAGTTCAGTTTAGCATACGTGGTCAGCATGGATGAGTTCGACTGAGGGGTCTGTTTCAGTGCTGTGTGATTCTGTGACTCTATAAATAATCTGTCAATGATCTTGCAGCTTCCTGACCTGGAGGTCAATGCAACCACTTAATGGAAAGTCTTTGTTCTCCTCTGATGAACTCAGTTACATTTCTCTATCTTTGCTTAACACTTTGAGAAAATGAAACTGAAATCAAAACTTTCATCAGAAACTTACTAAACAGGCAAAAGCTAAATGTTCATCTCAAGTATTGACCTTTTCCTCACAAAACTAGCTAATCACACAAAGTGGGTGCATAGACACCTGCTCATATTCTCTGTAAGTCCAGTCCCTGATTATTAAGTGAGAGCGCCATGCTGTTGTACTAAATCACAAATGATTGTAAAAGGTACGCCGGACTTTATTATCAAGTTTATATTACCATTTTTCCGATGTCTTGAGGTTGATTCCCAACAGGAACCCTGGTAATTCCAGGCAAATCGATTAATGTTAGGTCTGGGGCATTGTTCGATTCAACTGTTAAACTTATAAGCTCGGAACTTATGCTTGTGTTTTCAGTCAGCATGTCCTGAGCTGTGGATAAAAAAAATTGCATTGATTTCATCATTAAACCACACACCTCCTTTGGCGTTCTGAAGATTCATTTCAGACTCAAAGCATTCACTCTGTTTCCCTCTCCATGGATGCAGCCAGACTTGCTGAGTTTTTCCGGCAATCTCTGTTTTTATTTTGTATTTCCCTTGCTTCATTGAAATTACCGGTAACATTTATTCAATTCTGGTCACCACACTGCAGCAAGGATGTGGAGACTTTGGAGTGGGTGCAGAAGAGGTTTATCAGGATGCTGAGCTAACAAGGTGTGGAGCTGGATGAACACAGCAGGCCAGGCAGCATCAGATGAGCAGGAAGGCTGATGTTTCGGGTCTGGACCCTTCTTCAGAAATGCTGCCTGAATTAAATGGCATGAGCTATAAGGAGAGGCTGGACAAACTACGGTTGTTTTCTCTGGAGGCTGAGGGGAGACCTGATAGAAGTTTATAAAATTAGGAGAAGCATAGATAGGAGCGACATTCAGAATCTTTGTCCCAGAGTTGAAATCTTTAATACTAGGGCATATGCATTTAAGACAGGTGGGGAAAGTTCAGAGGAGATGTGAGGGACCAGTTTTTTTACACACGGAGTGGTAGTGGCTGGGATGCACTGCCAGGGGTAGTGGTGGAGGCAGATACGATAGGGGTGTTTAAAGGGCTTTTAGGTAATCACATGAATAAGCAAGGAATGGAGGGATATGGACCAAGGGCAGGCAGAAGGGATTAGTTTAACTTGGTGTCATGTTTGGCGCAACATTGTGGCCTGTAGGGCCTGTTCCTGACTGTTCTATGTTCCATCTTCTATGTTCCATGTTCTACGTTCCACATTCTATGTTCCACATTATATGTTCTACATTCTACGTTTGATGTTCTATTCCATTCTGACAAGTGAAACTGCCTTTTCTTTTCGAAAACCAGCATTTGTTTCTCACGTCCCTCCCTTAAAAAAGAAAGAACTCAGATTTATAAAATATCTTTCATGATATTTGGATATTCTGAAACATTTCTAACCCAATAAAATGCTTGCGAGTTGGAGCCACTATTACAAAACATTTAAGCCAATTTGTAACACAGCAGGATTCCACAGACAGCGATGTGGTAATAATCAGTGAATCTCTTTGTTGTGGTTTTGACTGAGGGACAGATGTTGAGCAGGACACCAGGGAGAATGTGCCAGTTCTGCTTCAAAATAGTGCCATGGAATCTGTTATGCCAACCTGAGAGGGTAAACAGGGCACCAATTCAACTAAAAGACAGGTCTTCCAACAATCTAGCAGTCCCTCAATGTCAACTTAGATGTTCAAACCTCTGAACTGAGACTTGAACACAAAACCTTTGGACTCAGAGGCACAAATAGTGCTATGGAATCATTGCTAAAATCTTTAATCAGATCTTCTCTAGCCAGGGATTGCTTGTGGAATATGATACACATCTAACTGATGGATATCCTCGCTCGCCTACAAAGAGCCCAATGACATTTAAAATGATTTGTTGGTTTATCTTTAATGTACCTTGAAGAATTTCATCTTCCACCTGATTTGCACGATCCAATGTTTTGACGTAATCTCGATAACGTATTTGTCCTTTCCAAGGTTTATTATCTGCAACCTTCTTCAGCTTCAATTCAAGGGGTCATCTTGTCACAACGCCTGAAGTAAAAATGTCAGTTGCTGGTTAAGAAATTAATCAGTGAGTATGTTAACTCTGCTTTCTTCCCACAGATATTGCCAGACTTGCTCAGTTTCGCCTGCAATTTCTGCTTTTATTTTTCAAAGGACAAAACTGTATTAACTGAAGAACAGTATACTGTGAGGAGCATTTTTTTTTAAAAGATAATAGATGCTAACTGTGAATTAGATGTTAGTTTACAATCCTTATTATGAGACAGTAGGACTTCTCTCTCATGAGAGAGGAATAACTGGTGAAATTTTAACCTGAGGGCCACTACACCTCCGATGAAGGGAGAGCTTAAGAACGAGAGTCTTTCATGGTAGCCTCAGCTAGTGCAGGAATTGAACCCCACTCTGTGGGCATCATTAACCAGCCTCCATCCAACTGAGCTAAACCAACCCTATGTTCAGCAAGAGGTATCAAGGGAAATGGAAATAGTGGGGATCAATGTTGTTGAGGTAAATGATCAGCCATTTGAATGATAGACCAGGCTTTATAGTCTGAATTTTCTGCTCCTACTTCTATTTCCAATGTCTCTATATCTGGATATTTCATGGAAGGTATTCCTAAGAAGGATGTAGTAGAGAATTTGGAAATACATAATACGATCAAACAGAATCAGTATGACTTCATGAAGGGAAATTATGCCTAGAATTTACTAGAGGTTTTTGAGGATATAACAGGCAGGATAAATACAGGAGAAGCAGTGGATGTAATATATTTAGATTTTCAGAAGATGTTTGATAACATACTGCACAGTAGGCTACTTAGTAAGACACAAGCGTATGGTGTTGGAAGTAACATACCAGCGTGGATAGAAGATTGACAAATAAGCAGAAGACAGAGTGTTGGGATATTGCGGCATTTGCAGGGTGGCAATTTCTATCTACTAGTGGGCCACTGATGACTTGGATGAGGAAAGTGGATGGACTATAGCCAAGGTAACCCAAAAATAGGTGAGAAGACAACTGGTGAGGATGGAACAAAGAGTCTGCAGAGGGTTACAGACAGTTAAAGCAAATGGGCATGGACTTGGCAGCTGGAATATAATGCGGAAAAAGTCGAGGTTAGGCACTTTGGCAGGAAGAATAGAGGAGTTGAATATTATTTCAATGGAGAAATACTGCAGAAAACTACAGAACAGAGGATTTGGGAGTCCCTGTACAAAATGCTGGTATCCAAGTTCAGTGGGTAACAGGAAAGTCAAATGAAATTTTGGCCTTAAATTCAAAGAGAATGAAATACAAAAGTAGGTTAGTTTTGCTAAAACTGTACAAGGCACTAGTCAGATTGCTGCTGGAATACTGTGAACAGTTTTGGGCCCCTTATCCAAGGAAATATATACTGGGGTTAGTTGAAGTCCAGAGAAGGTTCACTCTATTGTTAATGGGTCTTATGAGGAGAGGTTGTATAGTTTGGGCCTTGACTCATTGAAATTTAGAAGAATGAGAAGCGACCTTATTGAAAGAGTAGTAAATTGAATATCACATGGGAAAATGTAGAATTTACCATTTTGGCAGCAAGAAATAAAAGTATATCATCTAAATGGTGAGTGATTGTGGACAGATCTGGGTAATCTCATGCTTGAATCACAAAATGTTAGTGTGTAGGTACAGCAAGTGATTAGGAACACCGGTGCAGTGCTATTGTGTATTGTAAGGTTAGGCAGGTTCAGCCTGTGTCTGCTGAAAATTAAAGAGTAAGAAGGGACTCACTTGAAATGTATAAGATGCCGAGGGGTCTTGACAGATTGGACATGGAACAAATGTTTCCTCTTGTGAGAGAATCTAGAATTAGGGGTCACTGTTTAAAAATCAGGAGTTGCCCATCTAAAACAGAGATTAAGCGAAATAAAAAAAATCTGAGGGTCTTGAGTCTTTGGAACTTTCTTCCTGAAAACCTGGTGGAAGCAGAGTCCTGGAATATTTTTATGGCATTGATACATGGATTCTTGTAGGCAGGAACGCAGATTGCAAGTTACATTCAGACCAGCCATGATTTTATTGAATGGCAGAGCAGACTTGAAGGGCTGAATGGCCAACTCCTGTTCCTAATTCAGATGTTCATAGGTATGTTCAGAGTCTGTATTAAACTACCTAAAGACCATGGATATCTTGTGGCACATTGTGTTGCATCTCTACACCTGAACTGGAAGCTCTAGTCTCAAGTCTCATCTGATACCAAATGGACACAGTGCATGTCTTATAATGTGATCAAACAATCTGTAAATTCTTCTGTTATGCCTATGGCAGGTAGTAAGAGTGGGACAGTTTCCTGTTCAGACATAACCATGTGGTAGCTGCAGTGCAACAGTCTCTCCACGTTTCAAAACTTCACAATTTAGTTCTTGTCAGGAGCTAAAGTCATTTGAATTGAGACATGGCCAGGAAGACAATGAAATGAAAATCCAAATTGTCGTTGCTGAACACTTCTTGCATCAGACACTCTTCACCCGTCTCCCATTACAACTAATAGCTGCAGAAATTCTGAAAACGGTAAGAGGTACATGCATGAAGCAGGAAGTAATATGGACAATATTCTTCTTACCTTTGCCGCAGGGAAGAGCTATGTCTGACAGCATCTCCAGGACAGAACTTTTCCCTGAGCTCTGGTCTCCAATCACAGCAATGGTGGGGAGAGAAAAGTCCTTACCTATGCCCATTGATCTCATCTCATCAATGGTGTTAATATAATCACGAACATTCTCCTCATACTTATTACAAAATGCAGTCATTTTCGAAGAGCACTGTGGAACAAAAGCAGGTTTTTCTATTAGGGGTTGCAGTGTTGATTTCTCAGAACCAATGAAATCTAGGTATGAATTGCCCATGGGCTTTTGAAGCACATTCTGTTTTCAATTTGTGGAGATCAGACATTTTGAAGTGAGTGGGACATTCTGTGTTGTATAAGACAGGTGGTTACTGTTTGTGTTGTTCCATCCATTCTACTGAAGGCACACACAGTCTATGGTTAGTGACAAGGATCTCTATTCCAGCTTTCCAAGGGAGCAGTGTCAGCTCCCCATGTTCCTGGTAAGGAACTGTAATGCAATAAAGTGCTATCATGCAATAAAGCTTCTGTTTAACTTGGGAATAGTGTCTTTTCTGTAAATACTCTAGAGTGGTGTGTCCTTTACTGTTAATTACTAGACAGATCAACGACAAAGAAAGAGGAAGGAGCATTAGTGACTGTGAACCACTTTAAAACTCTTACCCAGTGCCACATACTGTTGGAGGTGGCAAATACCACATTCTCTTTCTTTGACTGAGAGAAGATGACTCGGGTTTCTCTTCAAATAAACCCTTCTACTGACTTTAAAATGTTCTGGCTTATTGCTTCCCCAGTCCCCATTTGATTAGGTAAAAGGGTGAAAATATGTACAAAACTCTTCTTACCAGTGCCCCTAGGAAGGACCATGTCCAAAAACAGCTCTAACACAAAGATTTTCCCTGAGCTCTAGTCTCCCATCAGAGCAATGTTGGTGATCGACACAGCACACACAAACACTCCAGCAAAGCTTATATTTTTAATGTTGTAGTTATATAGATTTATGTGTAGTGTGCTTTAGCTCAGAAGAAATAAAAATCTGTTTCCTTCTTTTGTGCGCCATCTTGCCGTTTAAAAGAACATGTTAGCGATCCTGCAGACCCAAGGTTTGGTGATGTGCCTGAAACAGCTGAGTGCCTGCAGGTATGTGGAGCGAGCGTAGGAGACTGGCAACATTGGTACTTGCATGATGGTGAAATGAAACATATCAGATTATTAGGGCATTTGATATGGTAGGTGCAGAGAGGTTGTTTCCTCTTGTGGGAGAGTAAAGGACCAGAAGGCATAATCTCAGACTAAGGGCGCACATTTAAAACAGAGGTTAGGATGTTTTTTTTCTCTGTCAGAGGGCATAGTTAAAGGCACTATGTATGTAGCATTCACAATAAAGTAACTGATCTAAAGACAAAAATAGAGATACAACGGTATGATCTAATCACTATAACAGAAACATGGCCATATGGTGACCAGGACTAGGACCTAAATATTTAAGAATATTCAATATTTCACGAGGACAGACAAGAAGGAGGAGGTTGCACTGATAATAAAGATGGGATCAATACATTATTAAAGGAGAATATCACATTGGATGAATAATATTTCAGAGTGTGACATCAACAACATTAAAGAAGCTTAATATCATTCAGGACAAAACAATCCACATGATCCGTACCCTATTCACTATTTTAAATGTTCCTCTATAGGTGGCGCCTGTTTCCTGCAATGTGTGTCATTGACAAGATGCACTGTATTGAGTCTAAAAGCCTCTTTCAACAACACTTTCCCAACCGATGACCTCGAAGAACAAGGGCTACAGACACTACAGGTAAAAGACCCTTTCTAACAACATTGTAGCAAGAATACTAATGATTAAAATCATACTTTACTAGAAACTTGCATATAGTGGAAAGGGAAAACTTAGAACTAGGACACAATACGAATTGATGACAAGGTATAGGGATTTTGCAAATTATGTCATGTTTTGACTCTTACTGTAGTAAAAGCTGAGATGTTGAGCTTGTCTGTGAGAAACTGCTTATATAAAAATGGAATATAGTTGTCTGTCTCTGTAAGCTAGGAAACCATACGATTCAAAAGGCAGAGTAGAACATATAAAGCACATGCAAGGCTGGTAACTGCCAGATAACTGTACCTGGTTGGTGGCAAAAAGGCATAAAACCTATGGCACTGAAATTAATTGGGAAGTTGGAGGGGTTTTTCAGATAAGACCCAGGATAAAAGTAGACTGGGATGGATGTAGCCTGAATAAGTGTAGCTCAACCAACACTCAGGAAGCTTGACACCATCCGGGACAAAGTAGCCCACCAGATTGTCACCAATCTACACATAACCAATCCCTCCACTGCCAACACTCAGTAGCAGCAGTGTGTACTATTTAAAAGATACAGAAATGTAGCGAAGATCCTTAGACAGCACATTCTACACCAACAACTACTTGCATCTAGAAGGACATGGGCAGAAGATGCATGGGAATACCACTACATGCAAGGCACCCTCCAAGCCACTCAACATCCAGATTTGGAAACATATCGCTGTTCTTCAAAATCCTAGAATTCCCTCCTTAAGGGCATTGTGGGTCAATCTACAGCACATGGATTGCAGTGGTTCAAGAAGGTAGCTTTGCATAAACTTCTTGAGGGCAACAACAGATGGGCAATAAATGCTGGGCAGCCAGTGATGAAAACAAAAGTCCTGAACAAACACGTGTAGTGGAGAAAGATGGAAAACAAAGCAAGACAAGATAGTGTAAAGAGAGAGAGAAAAAAAAACAGTGAAGGAGAGCTCAGAGAGCAAGGGGAATTTAATGTGGCAATATGAAATGGGTACATCCCAAGTAAACTTATGGCAAAAATCATTGCTTAGTCTTTTTTTACGATAGTTTACGATAAAAAGTTAATAAATTTGTTCCGACTTTACCTCAATACAGTATTATCATAGCTTAACTTATTGCAAAGTTTGTTCTCATAAAAACAAAGGCTCTGAAAAAGCCCCCAAAAACCTAATAATTTGCAGTGGCAATTCAAGAAGGCAGCTTATCACTCTGTTCCCAGTGGCTGTTGGAGGTGGGCGATAAGTGCTGGGGCTGCGAGGGATACCAACATCATTTGAGTGAATACAAAAAAAGTAAAATATATAGCATTCAAACAAACCTTCAAATGTCCAAGCCTTGGAGCAAAAAAATTCCTGGAACACTTGTACTTCTTCTATGTGTAGTTTAGTGAGAAAGGAAGACTGAGATTGTGTCCAGTATACAGCACTCAATTTGTTACTTGGTCTTCTTTATGTCTTGCTTTTATAGTTGGGGCGGGAGAAATAAAATGACAAGTCCAATCAAGAATCATCTACGATTGCTAGGCGTCAATGATAAACTTCTGCCTGTCTCGGAAATTAAGTCAAATGAGTCATCTGACCCAGTTTGTATCAGAGAACAGAATATTTCTGTTTCGGTATTACAGAAGCTCTGCAGCCTTGTGTGACAATGTTTCAGTGAATGAGCATAAGTGTTAACTAAAATAAATAAATCTGACCTATCAAGCCAGATCTGACCTGTCCAACAGGTCGACTGGAATCAGATCAACACAGAGAACAAACGTTCAACTCTGAGATTGTTGTCAGAGTTTTAGCAGCAAGAGAGGAAGTTAAAATACAGGAACAGAAAAGCCATAATCATCAGCTTATTATATCTTTATTCATTCATGGGATGTGGGGATCACTGGTTGAGCCTGCATTTATTGCCCATCCATATGGTTGCCCTTGAGAAGGTGGAGGTGAGCTAGCTTATTAAACTGCTGCAGTCCATGTCCTGAAGGTAGGAAGTTCCAGGATTTTGTCCCAGCAACAGTGAAGGAACTGTTTCCAGTCAGGATGATGAGTGGTTTGGAGGGAAAATTGCAGTTGTTGGTGTTCCCATGGATCTTCTGCCATGGTAGCTGTTGTGAGTTTGGAAGAACAGTTTTGAGCTCCTTATCAAAGGAAAGATATACTGGCATTGAGAAAGAAGGTTCACTAGGTGGCTCCCAGGTATGGAGGGACTGTCTTATGGTTTGAACATGATCGGTGGGGTGGGGGCTCCATTCATTCAAAGTCCACGGGCTCATGGTCAGTCAGACAGGAGGTGAATCGAAATCAGTCAGTGACACAGTCATTCATCAGCGGGGACTGATCCCAGACATTCACGGGAGCAGGCAATCATCAATCCAGGGTGGTCACTCGCCTGAGAGTCAAGGAGGGTTTATCAGGGATAGTAGGAACTGCAGATGCTGGAGAATCCGAGACAACAAGGTGCAGGGCTGGATGAACACAGCAGGCCAAGCAGCATCATAGGAGCAGA